GTTGAAACTGAAAGGTCGTGTATACTACGCCAGTGTGCGGTCAGTTCCGTTCTATGGTTGCGAGACCCTAAATCTGCGCGTGGAAGATATTAGTCGTCTTGAAGTATTCGACTGCAGATGTTTACGTAGTTTGGCTCGGGTTGGATGGAGCGAGCTTGTAAGCAGCTCTGAGGTGAGGCGTCGTGTATTTGGTAATGATTTGATGGAGAATTCGTTGTCCCATGGAATTCAGATTAGTCGGCTTCGCTGGTTAGGACACGTATTGCGCACGCCCAGCCATCGTCTGCCGCACTGCGCCTTATTCGCAATTGCGGCTCCGGGTTGGAAGAAACCGCGTGGAGATCAACGGATGACGTCGAAGCGAGACATGAAGAAACGCACGGAGCGATTAGATAGAATCGGTGTCTCCCGTCTTCCAGGTTGGGGTCCGAAAGACTCTGCCATTGGCTGGCTGGAGACACTGAAGGATATGGTGACTAACCGACAGCAGTGGCGTTCTTGTTGTCATTTCTTATCAAGTCGGAATACTGGAAAAGGTATGTATGAACAATTAGATTGTGTAATCTGCGTGTTGATCACAGAGGTTCTTTTTTTTGTCTCCCTCCAGTTAGGCTTAATCCCTCTCCATCTAGTGCTTTATCACTTGATTTGTGTACATTGTGAGCTTGGTAGCGATCAGTGAAGTTCGCTTCACTGTACCTCGCTGTACGAGGATGATGATAGTTTTATTACACCAGTGTTCCGCCAATCCGGATGATGTTCTCGAGCGACTGCTCGTGTGGCCCATGTATGTTACTACACAGGAACACGTTAACAGGTACATACAAAATGAGACAGTAGAAGCAGGAGTCATGTCTATGAGTTCCGAGCATAGGATCGGTCAGGACGGGAATACGACATGTAATTTTTCCACAAGGAAAGTACCCTCCAGTACAGTTCTGTTAACGGGCAACCAGCTCCGCTGTTCACTACTGGGTTTCCCGGTGTGGTGTAGATGAGGTAATGGCACCTTTTCTGTTTCTGTTGGTTTGAGGTTGAACTTATAGCCTTTGTGCACCCATATACAATCCGCAAGACATCAGGGTTATTCCAGACTAGCCGGTGGCTAATCAACTGTGAAATAAGCACAGCTGATTAGTCTTTTCTGGAAAACTGTGTTGGATAGATGGAGCACGACAGTAGTAGTGGGCGTATTTAGCGGCGAACAGCGATCGTCACTCTGCAGTGCGGTCTACAGACCTACGCGGTGGTTCATCGTGGACAGCACTGATACTGATCGTCTGGATCTGCTTAAATAGTAAGCCCAAGACCATTGCACTTACGGGTAAAGAACAGTTCGGTGGCTGAGCTCTTTCTTATCTGTGATCTGGGAACGCGCCCGCTAACGTATAGATCTCCTTTTCCACAAATTACCGTTTGAGTTTCCCGGACATCGCTGGAGGACGCATTGAGATGATTAGTACATGAATTAGCATTGGTATAAGTTGGCCTTCCTTGACTGCCCCTTTGGGACTGAGGTAGGGCGAAATTTTTTGGTTAGTTGTTTTCAGAGGTATATATATAACATAAGAGGTAGAGAACCGGTGACGTAAATAAGGTGCGTGCTTGTGGCCCTCCATCCTCCCAACCAACAGCTGACAGCATAAAAACAGAAAAAATGCAAAACAGGCAGGACGTAAATACCTAACGAAAACNCACATTAATTATAATTGCATGCAGTATTGATTACCAACAACTTTTGTAACGATTACTATTATTTAGAATGTTGTTCTTTAGTCTGTTTGAGGCTGTTGACGAAATACCAACATTATACAGTGGGTTTCATCGTACACAGAGCAACTAAACACGTGAGCTGAAAGCACCAAACAGCTGATTTGAACGGAGTTGAGTCTCATCAGCTGTTCGAATCCACTGACCCGACTGAGGATCATAGCCGGGACCTCAAAGGCAAGCACCCACCCACTTGACCGTTTTTCATTTGCCCTATTCGTGAGCATCACAACTCACTAATCTCAGCATTCGTCATCAGACTTATGATTCGGCTGGAAACATTTCAGACTTAACTACTTGATAGAGAGAGAAGTTAGGGATTTGATTTGATTAAATAGTGGACGAGACCCAATCAGTAGTACAACAGTAGTAAAATTCTTCGCAGTTTCTTTTAGATCACGCATCATTTGTATGAGGAAACCGACGATACCGTCGAACCAAATCATCCACAACTCGCTTTACATGAATGAGAATGTTACGCATCCATGCTATGACAACAGTCAATTGCACAAGTTCTATTTCAGAACTGACGAATAATAGCTTCATCACTCGTTGTAAATTACGCCCGAAATAAATTAAGGATAAATAAGGTTTTCAAATTACCGAGGCTCATAGAGTTGGCTGTTTCAAAAATTAGACAGCTGACTGTATTTGCTTCATTTGTGTGGCAATCGAGAGAAGTGATTAGCTTTTGTGATTCTTCTTTCCGCGCCCATCAAAAATAGCTGCATAAACGAAAAGGTACAGACCAAAAGAAATCGTACTGAATTACAGCAATTAGTTTAGACGAATCAATTTATCCCGGGAAAAAATTGTAAACGGCAACAGAGAAATGGCTCCAAATTTACCGGAATTGACTGGAACTTCACGGGGGATGAAAGCTTACTCGGCCGAATAGCGTCCGTTATGGGCGGAAAGACATTTACCTGCATTAATATGCAAAATGTTACGAACAGGCGGCGAATGAATGAGGCGGTCAGGGGGGGAGTAATTAATTAGAACGACGAGATAAACGGGTTTAAGGCTCATATAAAATAAAAATTTTATTAGTTGGGCTGTAACTGGAACAGTGTGTGTGTGTGTGTGTAACTATCGGCCGCATCCACCAAATGGGGGGGGATAGGAGACAGTGGAACCATCGATGCCAAACGCACAAATGGAGAAAAACTCACCGTCCAAACCATGCACACACACCACTAAATGCAATTCGTCGTTCTGCATCGGTGGATCGGAGAAATATGCATACGGAGCGGCCACCGTGGCAAAATCACTGTACACGTGACCTTGGAAATCCACAGCGATCTGACGTTTCACGTTTTCTTTCAGTTGTAGAAATTCCACCACCCCAGGAGAGATAACATCAACCAGTGGTTTCAAATCTGATTCCTCGTGGAGAACGGCATAAGAACGATGCGAGGACAGCGTGTTTTGCCTACGTGGAACCGAGTCCAGTGTACGGTATTTCCCCGATCCTGATTTTCTCAAACCATTCAGAGTGGACAAATTCTGTGCACAGGTGATGGTGGTGAGGGATGAAACGGTCAGTTCCATTACAAATAACAGAAACCGATAGCGTAAGCGAAAACACCCAAATAAATTGGTACTTTTGTTAGACAATCCATAAAACAGTAATAAAAGGACAAACCGTCGAGGAGATAAGTGTGCTGGTAGGTGATCCCGACTGTTTCAATACGAGTAAGAGCTTTGAAATATTTCCATTTTGAATAAGACACCCAGGAACTAATGAAGCCTAGGGAAAAACATTCAGTCATAAGTTAACCAATCACTAGCGTTATTCGTTGGTCATAGCAAGCTTCCTGTTTTAAATAGATGAACAATTCCCCCTTAGAACTAACCAGTCACATTTGTTCACCCTTGGAAGTGACATGAGAAAATGACAAGTCTATCGTTTGAACACAAGGACAGCTCTCTGGACTCACGTATTTTCCCTTTGATTCCAGTGAATTATTTTACCGAAAGGGATTCAAGTAGTACTTGTTTACCACATCGTTGTCCACGGTCCACACCTGTCTTGTCTTCCATATTCTTCAATTCGGGTACAAATTCCACGGCGGATTCTAGTCCAGTAGCTTTAGAGCTGGAATTGTACGATTCTAAAAGAGTATTTCGCACTCCGTCGCCTCGCCCTTGTTGATACTCATTTCTGAGACTTTGTAGCTTTCTTACCCATTACAACGTGTTCCCTTAGAAGGGTGAGCCCTACTACGGAACAAACCCTATGAGGGGGCTCACAACGCTTATTTGTGCTTTCAGAGAACATCAGAAGACAAATGTACACTTCGGATGCATACAAAGAATAGAATTTTCATTTGTCACGATCAGCAGTGTTGCACTGCCGTGTGTCGGTTCTGAATGCCTGGTGGGCCACTCGATGAGATTGTGGCTGGGACAAGTGAAAGTAAGGAGCAAAATCGGGAGAGAGCAAATGAACTGCGCAGAAAATCAGTAGATTTACAACCGACGCTGTTTACGACACTCAGTCATATCACCCACTATCCTTTATTATTGACTGGGTTGCACAAGAGGTCCGTAAGCGGGACATCTTCTGTGACCATTAACACGCACCAGGACTAGCATAACCCCGTGTCAGGTTTTATATTGATTAACTATAGCCTACCCACCAGATACCTCAAACAGCACCGTGTACCAAGGTAGTTTATCTGATAACATGCGTAGCATACACCTCAGTTGTCGAAATCTATGCAGACCAAGCACTTGTGCCACAGCGTGACCACAATTACCTCAAGCAAATAGAGGAGACTAACCCCAAGGATACAGTCAAAGTGTGGTGTGACTTGTTATGAAAATGAGGATACTCACATGATGCGAATAGGTTTGTCTGCTAAGAATTCGACCATCTTCCCGGAGCAATTCTAAAATACTCAATTTTTCATCTTGCCGTACCCGCGAGGACTTCGTATCACCTGTCATCTCTTCGTCCGTATCCTCATCCACATCACTACGCAACTGGTAGCCGCATTCACGTAATCGTGAGTCTCCATGTCGGCGATGCAATTCCGGTGATCCTACCGCAGCAGGACGACCAAATATTGAAGTACGCTCCGACGATGTTAGAGTATTTGCCTTTCGGACACCATTCACCAGCAGCGGAGGTCGACTAACCACTGCATCTGTNTAACAGATTGAGGAGCTAGTGATTCAGAAATCGATCGTGATACGGTCGGTGGGAGGCTTTGTCGTTTATTTGATCCGGATGTTTGTCGAGCAACAACGAAGTCCGTGATCTCTTCGCTACTGGTTGAGCTGGTTCCATTCGAGTGGACCACCGATCTACAGGATTTCGTGCGAGGACACGAGCAAACGGGATGTCCATTTTGATTCTGTGCACCCAATGAATGGGCAGGATCCTCACCACGATATGAGGGTAGTGAGAGATGTGAATACGGCTCACTGAGTTCCGACGGACACAGATTGGAAGTAGAACGGGACATGCGATGATACAGGGGTTTTGTGCTCGCCTGGGACCGGATTGAATCGTACGGTTGTGAAATGCGCCGCTCATTGCTGGCATCCTCGAGAATAGTTAGATCCAGCTCGGAGTAGGAGCCGAGACAAGCTAAGCTGCATAAAGCCAAAAAAGAGGAGTGGGTGGATTGAATTCGAAACATCAAACGATTAAAGAAATGCAAAGGAAGTAATGCTCTGTCTAGCGCCTCCAACCAAATCGACAAAAATCGGTATGAATGCAGTTCATGTGACCAGTTATAAGCGGCTTTAATTGCCTTTCACTGAAGCTGAATTATTCCAAAAGATAGGTAAAGCAACAGAGGGATAAATGTCAGTTTTATAAAAGATGATCAGCGTGCAAAGAACAGAAGACGTAGCCTGGGTAAGGTGAAAAAATTTACAGAAATTACAACTAATTTTCACTTTGCTCGTAAGCACATGAGTTGCAAACAAACTGCTAAATGACCTGGAAGTGAATATGAAAATCTACTTTCTTCAGTCTGAACATCCCCAAAGATCTTTTTACTTCCACATTAGCCCCATACGACGTTAGGGTGAACCTATTCTCTCGTAGGGAGGATATTTTCCATTGTGGGTTTCTGAGAAGGCGGAGTTGCTCTATCCGAGATATTGAATGCATTTCTACTCAGTAAATCAATGGATTTTTGCAAGATTTCCGAAGTTGACTTTGTACACAGTAATTGGGCATTTAGGTTACCTACATTCTGATTTCGTGTGGATACAACTTCTTACTTAAAACGTTTCCTCAGTTATACACGCATAGACAAACACTAGTATCCCTGAGCCATTGCCCACCTGTTTGATGTCCATCACTTATCCAAATCGCATATCTAGATCAAAGAAGCTGGGAAACTCATCAGCGGTCCAAGCACCGGTAAAGATAAACCATGCTGTGGATAACGGAGACTTGAAACATCAGCGAAACGGTTCATGGCATGCGGAGACAGTTACATCTTCGTGTGGTGCTGAGATCGGATGTCTGATTCAATGATGATAAAGGAAAACTGTCTAAGCACTACGGATCCGTGGGCTGAATCTACCCCAATTGAATGATGAATGAGCTCCAAAGTGAACCACGCACAAAGATGTACTAACACACTGATGTTGTGCAGTCCAAACCTGAAAAGATGAAAGGTACGCCCTCAAAATAAACGCAACTGAATGACTTCCGGGAAGTGTCTAGTATAAGTGTTTCCAACTCAACCCACCCAAACATTTAGTGGTGAAAGATTTTGCACAGGCGTCGCAATAACGCATAAGAACGAAGTCTCCGTAACAAGAATTGCAAACGTGGCGTGCGGATATGTTAGCTGAAACTATCCTCAGGAGAATCCGAAAGAAACAAAGTGCCTCCGAAACCTCAGTATAGTCGGGGGTGTGTCTCGAATTGTGGATGGTTACCCCTCCTTTGCACTTTGCGAAAATCTCCTGGGTAGTGGTGGTGCAGTGGTTTAGTCTCTGTTACTGGCTTACTTTGGACCCTATGGTCCGAGGTTCGAGCCTCGCCACCCGACTTTTGTGGTAGACNGGTTCGCCACTCCAAGTCCCGGGGCTCAGGTTACCTGTTCCCATCACTGAAGAGCAGGTCTTGGTGACTATGGGGTTTGTCCCCTCTGCTGTTCAGCACAAGAAAGTGTGCAATAAAAAATTTAAAAAATACGACCAAGCGTCTTAAACAGCCTCAGTTGACTGAGCCCCATTCACTGACTTCTTGTGGGGCAGAGGTGTTTTCCCCCCAAAGTGACCGAACGAAAAGTCCACATTCGGGGTCATAACAGAGGAGTGACGAACAACCGGCAGTTCACCTAGGGCAGTTGGTTAAAAACCCTGAATCCAAACCAACCAAGAAGAGGCGTTCGAAACATACACACCTTCCTGGTCGTGGTCATNGTATTGGGTACCTTGAACGTTTGACGCCGTCCAAAGGGCGTATGATCCGATGAACTGGACCCCGGCACCCAGTGGATTGTGGTTTTCACACCGCCCGCTGCCTTGCGGGTCAGGCTTTGGCTAGCCGATGGCTCCGGTTGTGAACTCCCTAGCAAAATTCATCTGCTTTGGCCTAGCAGTATCTTGCCCTCGAGCAAATCATAGATCTCTTTCATTTTTCATTATACGGTGATTCATTCGGCGCAGTCTGAACTCAGGCGTGCGTGAAAATAACAACAATAATAATAAAAGGAGAAGCCGGTGGATGATCATAATGAAGAAGTTAGGATAACCTGACCACTATTAGAATCGTTCGGAACAATTAAGCCAGCACACTAGAGAAAAGGTTTGCTATTTGTTAATACCAGGCTGAATCGGTTAGAGATGAGCAAAAAACATGAATCAGACATCATCTTATTGCGCTATCGGGAATGATCTGTATGTAATGGAAACTGCGTTTGATCGGACATTGAATTTGGTTACTACGTGTTCCATTAATAGACTTGTACCTTCTATTACTCAGCTGATATGGATAGCTCCGCAGTTCTTAACTGGAACGGGTAACGTACCTTGTATGGTTAAGCCTTCGAATCAAAACTTTTATACCTGTACATCAAGTCACGGTTTGCGCCTATTTAGACTTATCTTGAGGATCGCGTTTTCAGCAGTATGCAGCATGTTGAGTAACGTTTTGTATTTTTATCAGCTAAAGTAATATAATTTCACACTGATAAACAGTGTGAGAACAGATCAAAGCACAGTGGCACCAAGATACAACATATAAACAAGAACCAAAGGGATCGAGGCGTACTGAAGAAAAGAATCCGTCTTTTTGACCCACAACAAAAACGAGTAGGTAAAACATTTCATTCACCGGTTCGGGACTCACTCTGAGGTGTATACACGACACATGGCGGACTTGGATCGTCTGAAAAAGCGAAATGGAAACAGACAAGTCAGAATGACTCAAAATGTAGGGACTGCATTTGGTGTCTCGTTATCCGTAGGGACCACGTGCTGTCAACAGAATCACACTAGTTTGTCTGTAGACGATTTTAGGAATCGGTTCAAAATGATGTTTGGTACCACATGCGTCCTGCACCCTACAGGTTACAATCTTGAAGTATGAAATTACGGATTACGTTTTTCTCTATCATCTTGTAACTCAGCCGAGTGGCAACAAACAAAGAAACCTGCAGAAGGCAAACACGACAAACACGAATTGTGTAAATTAATTGGACTCAGACAGTGAGCCATTAATTTGGCTATTGTCGTTGGTAATAGCCTTAGCACGGTTGTGTGAGTATGTTTCACCGTCTCGGGATTCTCTCCAACTACCCTCTAACAACCTGTTCTCCAGAACTCTGCTGGAAAATCTTAGCCACTGCCTCCACGAAGCGGGGATTTCTGCTGTAATAAGCAATTAAAAAGTCAACTTTCGGAGCTATAAAAAGGTGAAGTTATAATCCACTAGCTTGTGTCCAGGAGGTAGAAAAACCCTATTTGAACCCATCCAAAGTGATACAGATGAACTGCCCCAGATATAATGGATAAACAGTCACCGGCTGAGCTGGGTAATGCTGTTTATTGGGGCCCCTGGGAGGGGAATCCTTTGCGCAAAGCGTGAATGATCCGACGAACAAGTCACTAATTAACAATTTATCGCGAACTTCAAGGAAGGCCCTAATGCTTTACCAAAGAGATTACTCGATAGAGTTGAGGTCCTTAAGGTAGACCTCCCACTCTTCCTCTATATCTGTAAATCATGTAAATTGTGGCTATTAAATTCGAGACATGAAAATACTAATTCAAATTCTCCGAGGTAGCTTGACCCCATCTCAGATGCACAAACTAACACGCAAACAGTTTCTTTCCATTACATGCAAACCAGTATGCATCTAAGATCTGACTGCAACACAGAAAACAGTGAGATATTCTAGCAGCAGACATTTTTGCGTCCCAGAATCAGTGAAATTAGATAATATGCCTAAATCTATCTGTAAAACTAAGGAAGTCAGATAGAATACACGATCAATATCATGAATGAACTTGCCGGGAAACTGCTCCGCTAAATCTGTGTCGTACACGTCGACTGGTGGCTGACCCTTTAGTTCGCTCGGTTCCCCGGACGACCAGGGCGGATTCGGATTTGACTCGAGCCATAGCGCAAGCATAGGCTAGGTCCGGGACAGAAAGACTGGACAAAGTACGTGATCGGAGAAACGCATGCATAGATGATTCAACGTCAGTATTAGCTGCACCACCATCATGCAGAGTAGGAAACAAATCCAGCTCACTGGTCAAGTGAGCTGGCGGAATGCAACCCCCGGGTGGTTCCCGAGGTGCACGACTCAAAGTACCTATCGCGATTTGGAGTTTGGGTGCGGTAGTCAGACTGGATGAGCGAAGCATTGGGGGAACTATTAGTCCATCTTCTAAGGTGGTCGGTTGAATTTCCGATGTGTGGTTTTGTGAGGGTAGAACACAAGACGACCGTGACAGCGACACGTCGTGAACGGAGAATGATCGGTCGGTTTTCACGGTGTCCAACTGTTCCATGCTAGAGGAACGAAGGCGTTTTCCATCAAACCTGGTGCTTAGAGACGAGGGATTCAATGCATATGATCTGAAGATACGTGGTCCGGATACGTCGGATCGACAGGAATGTAAACTTTGATTGTCTGCGGGAATGGAGCCAGGAGTGTTGCTCGAATAAACTGAAGTTACCGAGCGGGATCGAAGGCTACGCCCATTAGGGATAAAACGGAGAGGGGGGGGGAGAATCGAAAGGTAAAAGAAATGTAATAAACACCACGCAAGAACGAGCTAAATAAAACAGATTGATTATAAACAGTGAACTGCCTCCAGTCGGTACGTATCGTAATCGGCCAAAAATATACATGCCTTAAACTGGAACATACGGTTATAGTTGATTCCAGCAATGAATGGATTGACCAGTGCGACTAAACAAGAATAACAAAAGGCAGCGAGGATTAAACGGTGTTTGATGAAAGCGAACAGGAAACACAGCGATCGTGAACAGGTTTCCAAAATAACTTGGAAAATTGTAAGAATAAACAGTATATTAACAGTGCCTGAACGCGATAGCGCTTTCGAGTCACTCGTGTCGCGGATACATTTCTTGTGGATATATCTAAGTTATAAAGGCAATGATCAGATCCTCAGATAACATGAAAGGTTTAAAACAAATGTAGTGCAAGAGATCATGACATCATTCAAAACCAAGAAAAAATTACTCTCTAGTCTTCAACGACATATGCTTGGGGCGCAGTCGCACCGCATGATGGTCCATCATTTTGGAGTCCTGATGATTGCCCAGATACAACGATGTCGGTCGAGGATGAGGTCGGGAATCTACAAAAGACTCGTCTACTTCGGTTCCCACACTACGAAAGCCCAATAATCGGACGGAGCCATGATGTACAGGATCTGGGAGTGCTGACATGCGGTGCTTCGAACGGGCTGTTTGCAGGGATCGTTGACCGTGGGAATTGGAACGCCGGAACTTCCGTCGATTCTGACCCAAATAGCGTAACACAGGGGGTAGTGTGGCGGTGGCCCGTGTTGATTCTGAACCGGGCAGTGCTGGTGTGGAACTAGAGATCATCCGTGAGTGCGCTGTCAGCGGTGCAGGCATGTCATACCGTAGATGCGGGTTCAGTTTCAGCGATGGGCGTGCTAAAGGATAGAGAGTCAATAGGGGATTGGCTAACTGGCATAGGTCTGACGAAACAGGATGCTGTAAACAATAAGGAAAAATGCCATTTCAGTTGTCAAGTGATACGTATGTGAACTGTGTTTACTATGCATCAATCACAGGACGCCAACGGGACATAGTTTGAAGAATAAGATACAAGATGGTTGTCATATCTATCAATGATAAAACACAGAACAATTATTGAAATTGACCAAATGAAGCAGAGTAACCAGCAGTAGACTGTTGCGTGTGATGAACAGCCGGTTGCGGACAGTCAGTAAGCAGTTTCCCTGTGCTCTGACATAACGTTACTTCTGTCCCGATGGGACCCTAAATAGTTCTCTGCTCAAAGTTCCCAGGCATAAGTCACCGAGCCCCATAACCGAGTTTCATCTGTACAACTGTTCACTACACTAAGATGAGCGATGAAAAACGAAAGTGGAATAAGCTGATTGAGAATGACACCAAAAGGCCAATTTGAGTATGCGTATATTTGACAGGAAAACGGTTAGATTGAACAAAACATCACCAAATCCGTTCTACAGAATGTGGAGTTCGGGTCAGCCAATTCGAAAAGGCATCAAGCATTATTCATGGTCTTGGGTGTGGATTTTATCCAGTGGAAGTCCATTTATCTCCAATATGTTAAATACATTTCATCTGTGGTGTATAATGCATGACAAAGTGCATTGAATAGCTGCCTCGTCCCAGACCTTACTCGTCAACAGTGCACAATTATTTTGTCCTTGTCGGGAATTCAAACGCGAACCCCGGGGCTTAGAAATCGTACGGAATTCAGCTCAGTATACTTCATAGCAAGATCAAGCGTGCAACTACGGGACACATTAACGCATCCCTTGAGATAAGATTCCCGACAAAGCTACTAAATTGGCACGCACACACACACACACACTTACTATTGACGAGACAAGGAGGAGGAAACTATCTATCAGTGCATGCTGACAGTTTCTAAACAAACAAATTTTGCACAAAAACGGAGCACGTTACATTCAGAGGTGAGTGCACGAACTTTCAATGAATACCTAGACATAAGGGAAATTGTACAGAGTGTTTGATGCTGGTCAGAACGAAAAAGCCGATTCGATAACACCAATCCTCCCTGTTCCAAAGCATTAAAATGTACAAATACGATTAGACAGCCCGGTGTCCAGTTCGGATTTGATGTCAGTCATACCAACCAGGCAAGCGCATCCCTCGTGTTCAGATCGGATAAATTGGGATGCAGTCGATTGGTTCAGCATTGCGGATATGGTTGATGCCTTATCTGACCAGGCCAAGACAACATCAGTGCTTTTTGTGTGCGCTGTGTACACTCAAGCATTCCTTCCCAAACACCAATCACCATACAGTCCAATCACTAATCTGATTTGGTAAGTGCAGTCGTTCGAGAGGTTACGAGACCGGAGAAGCGAACCGAAGAAACTGTACTCAACTGGGTTGTGAACTCACCAACAGCACTGACCCGAAGTGAATCATTGTCCGGCTGTTGTACCAAGACCTGAGGAATTTTACCGTTCACTTGTTGTTGTGAATCGCCTCGAGCAGGTGGACCAGTTTGCTCGCACGGAGAATCATCAGAGTTGACACCGTTCACCTTGGGGGAAATGGACTGATGATACCACGGAACACGTTTCGGATCGTGTGAGTTCGGTGAGAGGAAAACATCCTCGAAGATAATTGGCAACGAGCTGGTATCTCCGTCCAGCTCACGGCAGCTGACCGGCAATGCGGGTAGTTGTTGAAAGTAAGGAGATTGTCGCACCTCATTGGCCAACGCTTCATGACCGACGGTACTTGAAACAAAAGATGTGTGTGTAAGGGGGGGGTGAGGAAAAGTTCAAAAAAGCTTGAGTAACTAAATGCAACCACGATAAGGGATGTCAAAATGTTGGTACTAAACACTGGACATGCGACAATGAGTGAATGGGGTCTGATGTCAAAAGTTCGACAGTTGAAGCGCACAAATAATATGCGACAAAAACCGGTCGGAAAAAACGGCGAAGCAGAATGCATATGAGATACCGTCCTCGTGGGGGTACATTTAAAGCAACTAACCATAGACACTAAGCTTTGAGGGAATTTGCGTACGCCGGAAAACCAGAAATCGCAGGCGAACAGAAGTCACGCTGAAAAATGAATTGATAAGAGCTCCATTTCCGGAGCGAGAGAATTGAAAATTCCGAACAATGATGCAAATAGCACACGGCTAACTATGGGCCATACGGCTCACTCATACAAATACACGTAAAAAAGGAAGTAGATGAGGCCTCTGGGGAAATTTTGTATTTATTCTATCAATAAAGAAGTGTAGATGCAAATCAAATTAGATTTCGGAAAGCCAAAGTATTGATTTCTAACACTCTAACCATGGACGAGTAGGAGAGGGGTTAGAGACGAAACGTAAGTCTGATTCTCGCAACATTTGGAGGCAATTAGATCCGATCACAGAAGCAAACAGTTAACACACATAGAGAGTCGACAATCATTTTTTCGAACAGACGGATGAGTTCAAAACGTGCAAACAAGCTCACAACCCGGAATCCTGATGGAAAAAACACTTGTTCCTGATGGGCTTGAGATAATTATGGACGCTGGACGGTTGAACAATACGCCTATGATTGACTAAACTGTTGAGTGGGTGATGCAGTGTATTGAAGGTTCGCAGTGTTTGTATCACGACATAAGGGGTTGAGGTGCCGGTGATCAAGAAATGTTGACGGTCTGTCCACTGACTTGTAACTCATGAGTTTGAGTCCCACCACCCCGCTGCCTGAAATCGGTCGCGACCTTATTTCTGCGTGTTGACTGAACCTTTGCTGTAAATAAAATAAACGGAGACTAGTGTGGTCAAGCCGTCGGGTTACGTTTAGTAACAAGAGCGAGGGTGGAGTGAGATCGGACACGCCTGCCACATTACTGTTTAGCAGAGAAACCGCAGTGGTGCCATTAGGAACCATTGGATGGAGTGATCGTTCCATTTGCAAGTGATATTGTTGAATTGGATTGATGAGTGTAATCATTTGAGAATAACCACATGGAAGATAAGTATTCACTTATGCATGGAATTCGCAGCGGAATTTCCGAGTAACAGTTTGCAGTTCACATTCAGCTCAAATAATGAAATTTTCCAATGGTCACTCAAGAAGCATAATAAAGCCGTGTGTAAGTGAATACGGTAGGGAGTGCTTACGCAATATGTGTGTGTCCATGTGCATGCGATTTGCATTGGTCCATATGACACGAAGGACCGACGGGAGGCACAATGTGCAACACGTCAGACCAGAACGAACTTACGGGCCATGACCAACGGGGCTAATAGGCAGCTAAACGAAGACAATGGCATAAGCTGGACAGAATGAATCGCACATTGTTTCAGCGTACTGGACGGTGGCGGAAAACACGGACCAAGGGGATGCAACTATACAGAAATCGAATTCAACACGCTCGGGATGGCGCATTTGTTGTACAGAAGCACTTTAAAACATAGCCTAGGTGATTTTATCAAAGCTAAAACAAACGCGACTGCGAACATCCGATCAATAACCCTCGGCATTCGGTAGCGTACTGATAGTAATGCGGACGAAGATGCGATACTCGTAACTAAACTACCCAACCAAATAAAAAGGTGCTTATAGACTAGATCGAACAGGTTTGGGAAAAGAAAAGTGAAATTTTGATGTCGAAAGGTTCAAGGTTAGTCAGCGTGTCAAATACATACTTATACCATAGCTCGAGGGATAACAATATATAGGATTCTCTTCCAGAATGAATAATTGAAAATAATTGAAAAGATTGATCGAGAAACGAAAACTGTTTTGGTGATTCCCAAATGTGTTCCAACAACTTTCATTTTTGAACAATGATAGCTATGGGATCACATTTAGATCCCGATGAAGGGGACAGGAGTAATGTCATCTTTCACCAGTTGATTCAAGTGATCACTCAGGTTCCGTAGCGCTCTTCACACTGACACAATGAAACCGAAACGCCTGAAGTTGTCCTCCGCGGAAACAGATTTCGGCATGGCAAGCGAATGGAGATCACTTAAGCTATGGTTGGTAATCAAACTCAGGGTTACCCCCGATCGACTGAGTTGGCCACGTTAGTGGCCTTGGCGGAAAGATCGTGGTCAGATTTCACTAGATGAACTGCGAGTTCTCTTGAGAAAGTTCATTTTTTCCTTGAATTATTGTACGAAATGAGTAGGATGCGCCACAGGGACAAATAAAATAGCAAATTAAGTGGGATCAGAACAGTTTTGGTTGTTTGTTGTTCACATTATTCGGATCACTGGTGATGTACGCTGTCGGAATTGCAGAATCTAACGTTGCTCGATGTGGATATATACTAGATTTCAGTGTTAATAGAATAATTAGGGATACTGCCTTGCTAACATTGAAAGACAGATGTGGAACACATTGACGTGTTTGACAAATCGGAAACTTCCGCGCCAAAATCGCGTTTGTGAGCATTACTGCTGAATTTCAAAACCACGACAAAGTAGAGAACGGAGTAGGAATCAATGCTAATCAATAGCAAACAGAAAACAGTGACCTAGGAAGAAAAGGAACACAGTGGAAGACAATTCCTCTTTTCATAGGAAGTCGAAAATGAAAACATCATCTCATACAAAGTCAGATCACTCTCATCTTATCCTGCCACAGACATTCTATCTGCATTCTATCTGTTGCTTTCTCCTTTCAAGCTTTCGCTTTGAAATTATACATCATACTAAATAAACACAGACAGAGAGAGGAAGTCATTTTATGTGCTTGGTGAAGAATAGCTGCTTGAAGCACGTGACCAAATGTCATGATGCGCAATAAAAAACAACAACACAATATCCTGACGTATCAAGGTGCAAAAACAAACGGAGAACAGAGAACTAGTGGTCCTTGCTTTGGCATGAATAATCCCAGATACATCCGTAAACATAATTGATTTATTAATTTATAAAAAGAGCAGCAGTAAAATTTGCATACCACTTTGAGCCGGTTGATCATTATCGGCAATGTTTGTCACACAGTTGCTCACACTCAGAAAGAGATGGGAAATAATCAGACTGTAGGTATATTAAACTATGCCATCTTCCTCATCCAGCTGAAATTCCCCCCCCCCCCCTATCCACCCTCACCCCCAAAGCTTTCATTCTAATAGATGACCACTGGATCTGAAACAGTGAATACGATACCTTTACCTCGAAGCGACGAGAAAAACAACAACCACGATATCACATGCTGTGAGTATTTGAAAACCAGTTCGTCTTATAAGTGATAAGCTAATGGGAAGTGTATAACTGATAAATTCATTTATGTAGATGAATCTAATTTCCATTATTGGTGCAAGAAATGACAAAGGAAAAGTCATAAATTCTACAATGGATGCCAGAAAATCGTTCATCTGTATTGGGATCAAACATCGCGCAAAGAAAAGACATACACGCACATAATTAAGCTTACTTAGTCAACAATAAAGCTAGCGAATCCAAAGAGGGGTGGAGATTATTCCCGGCATAATTTAGACCGGTTCGGACTACCTGTTATACGGGAGCAACAGGAGTGTGTGTTAGTGATCACTTCGATGTGTATAATAATTCGGCTGAGAACAATTCGCACGGACAGTAAACCGGAACACCCAAGAACTGAAGACAACGCGTTTAAGTGTGCGTGTGTGTTCCAATGTGATAAAAACATGCGTGCATAAGGACTGAAAGAAATGGAAAAAAGAGAACAGGAAATGTGTGACAATAAAGATAGCCCCGGTATCACAGTCACGATCTATAGTCAACCATTCAGCTGTCCTCCGGGAGTTGGGGAAAAACAGGATGTCAACTGGTGCTCGCCGTGAATTTATGGCAGAATGCGTCTTCGGTTCGGGGGAAACAAGACTGTTTTCACGAGGATAACGGGTGCAATTCTGTTGAACAATCTGGCATGAAATCACCCACGGACAGTGGAATGGTCAAACGGAAGAACTGGACCGGGGTTGAGAAGTTTGAGGAGCGAGACGATAAATCACTCTCACGAATCTGATCTGACGGCCAAGTGTGGGGCTTAAAATCCGTCACAAGATCGTTGGATCTGCACTACACCACACACGACCCTTAACAGGGATGAAACTGCTGCAAAGCGAGTAGTTATACACATTTTCTGTTGTTTGCGAGTGATGCGTCAGAATTTGCATGGTCAATTGGATCCTGCTCATCCAATCCACAACCACGTAAGCGAATCCATGAAATGCATTCAGTTTTCTCGTGTAACCCAACACAAGTAGCAATTAGATAAAAATTGGGTTTGTTATCTCAAACTCAACTTGTCACTGGTTACTGAGATGACGAGAATATGAAATAGTTGTTGCATTATAATTAGGGGCACCCGGAGAGGCAAATCAATAGAATTCATCAGAATTCAAACTCAAACGCACATGATGGTGATAGTACCCGGTTTATGTTGAAAGAGCCCCAACAGCTGACTACAGTCGGAAGTTTCAGAATACATCGCCCGTCCTTTTCTGTTTGTGGACACATCACAATTTTGAACACTGCGGCCCTTTTATCCAATTCGTTAGAACACAGAGAAATCATGCGAGATGTTAGCGTTTCCTTTAATACCCTCAGTTGTTCAGATGCAAAAAAAACTTGATACTTATACAGTCCAGTTGTGATAACTACAAGGGGATTCATGAGTGATCTTCTAATGAACGACGTGAGTCAGATGCTCACAGCGACATTCTGTCGAACATTTTCTACTGCACAGCTTCGATTGATATCGCATACCCAGGGACTTTGTCTACACGACCGAAAACAGAGCCAGTTGCCCAATCCTCCTTCATGTCACCTATCAGTTCACATGCAGTTGCGGTGACACTTACATCGGCAGAACAAATCGACCTGTGTCAAAACGGATATTCGAACAAAATCCCAATTGGTTATTACAATCAATGACGCAGCACAATATTAGAGGTTAATCTGATAAGATAAATCCAGGGTCATCAATCGCCGAACGTCAGGACAACTGGGTATATCGTTGACCTACTTTTGTCGTTCAAGTCACTGCTACGTAACACATACTTTTCACACGTCTGATTCCAGACTGTTTCCTAAACAAATCACAGTAGAATGGTAAAAAAGAAAAAAGAATCTCACATTCTTGGCTTTCACCGAAGCGATGTTTATCAAGCCGCATTATCCAATTTCATGTGGACACAATCGGTCACATTATCGCGGGACTGCTTTGCCCTCACCCTACCCCTGAATGTTGTCCGTTAAACCGCCGTAGTTGAGATAAATTTCTTGTATAAATACCAGATTTTTTTACGACTAAGGCCATCAGATGAAACGTTAACATTTCACACTTCATCACACAATGGCTCCCTGATTTCCGACTAGTCAGCGCAGAGTTCTGCCGCGGTAGGACGGGAAATCAGTCTCTAAACTCAGTAGGAGCGTTTATTGTCTGCCAGATATTTTACCGATGATCACAAATAATGAATCCAAGTACAGTCAGGCCACGTCGAATAACGGAACAGTTTTCGAATCAATTCACCGAACAACATAATCGATCCTTCAGGTGAAGTCAGTTTCCTATAACCAGTATCTCGTTAATCGAAGTCTCACATGCGACAAAAGATAGGGTTTCAAAAAATACATCACCTGTTGCGTGAGTAACAAGAAAAGCTAAATGAAAAAACGGTGTGCGGTGAATCGATAAGTGAGTATATAACCGCAATCTAACAGAAGAAAACATTCAGTTGATAGAGATCAATAAGTACACCCTTGCGGACTGAGATAAAAAAAGGCTTGCACAATTACAGTGGAACATCCCGTATTATCCGACATTATCCAACCAAATTGTATTTGTTCATTTAACCAAGTTGAACAAAAGAATAGAAATGGACTGCTTCATATCTGTTCGACTGTCATTCTATTGCCGAAGACAGTGCCGGAAATGTCGCGTGTCAGCTCTCGTCGAGCCGTGAAATTTTTTTGTCTGTTTGAGTACGCGGTGAATAGCATAAATTCACAAACAATACCGTTCGATTCCTCGATTCCTATGTTTCAATCTGCTGCATAAGGTTTAGTAGAATTCGCTGGTTGAAGTTATTAATGTATGTGTGTTGCCTAACAGAATTTTCTGCCTCTCTATCCATTTTCCTAACCGGAAAGCGGAGGATTTCACCGGAATTTCCAAGGTTTTTGAATTTATCTTAAAAAGCACAGCGGTTTCATGTGCTGCACTTCTTAATTTTATTCCGGACGATGGTGGTCAAGTGGTTAAGGTAATCAAGTTGTTGACCCGGAAGTCCCGAGCTCGAACCGCCCCATCCCACTGCCCATCTTCCCCA